TCTTCCCCCAGCAGCATGGGGATGGGATAATTGTCATAGACTGCAAAAGTCCACATTCCTGACCAGTCCTTGTACTGGACATGCAACTTGGCTGTAGGCAAGGTTACAGACTGTGACACGAAGGGCTGAATTGTCACTGGAGCCTCCGGGTTAATGAGTTTGGGGTCCACTAGGGATTGGTGCATTGTCGACACCTGTGCCCCAGTGTCCCTCCAAGCGATAACCTTCTTTCCGCCCACTCTCAAGCTTTCCCTTCGCTCCGAGGGTATGAGAGTGGCATCTGGGTCTGGGGATCTTTGGTGTGATTGGGGTGTAATGAACTGTAATTGGTTGGGGTTCTTGGGGCAGTGAGCCTTTATATGTCCCAGTTCATTACATTTAAAACACCGCCCTGCTAAGGTATCACCAGGGCGATGTTGGTTGGTGGAGACTAGTGTGGTGGGGTGGAGACTAGTGCGTCTGGGGTTTCCCTTGGGATGTGGGTGGGGCCTTGGGTTGTCCCTGGTTGTAAGGTTTGGTTTCGGGTTGCCCCTTCTGATATTCACTCCAACTGCTACTAGTTTTTTTCTTTTCTGCCACCTCCACCCATTTGGCTCCAATCTCCCCCACCTCGGTTACAGTTTTGGGCTTCCCATCTAGGATGTACCTTTCTATTTCCTCAGGAACCCCCTCTAAAAACTGCTCTATTTGCATCAGTAAGGGCAACTTTTCCGTAGATTTAACATTTGCTCCTGATATCCAGGCATCCCAATTTTTCCCAATGTGGTAGGCATGTCGGGTAAATGACACATTGGGTTTCCACCTTAAGGCTCTGAACCGCCGACAGGCATGCTCAGGTGTTAGCCCCATTCTGATTCTGGCCTTGTTTTTAAAAAGTTCATAACTGTTCATGTGTTCCTTAGGCATTTCAGCCACCACCTCTGCTAAGGGTCCATTGAGCTGCGGCCTCAGCTCTACCATATACTGGTTTGTAGTGATGCTGTATCCAAGGCAGGCCCTTTCAAAATTTTCTAAGAAGGCCTCAGTATCATTGCCTGCCTTGTAGGTGGGGAATTTTCTGGGATGGGAAGTGGTACCTGGAGAGGGGTTGTTAGGATTGGCTGTTGTATCTGGCCTAGCCCGTGCTAATTCCAGTTCATGCTTCATCTCTTTTTCTCTCAGCTCCATAGCTCTCTGGTGGGCCTCCTCTTTGGCTTTTTCTTCTCTTTCATGGGCCTCCTCTTTGGCTTTCTCTTCTCTTTCTCTCTGCTCTTTCTCGAGTTTTTTTAATTGAAGCAGTCTCTGATGTTTTTTTTTATTTTCTTCTGCTTCTAGTCTGGCCAGTTCTATTTTGTTAGCTACTTCTTTGGTAGTCATTTTCCTGTTTTCTTGTGCTGGGCCACACCCCTCTGCAGTTGACTGAAACTGGGATGCACTCAGCTCAGGCTGCTGCTGAGGTAACAGAGACTTTCTAACTAGCTATCCCCGAGAGGTAGAAAGCAAAAAAACAATTTAGCTTGTAAATTCCTTTTACCAGTTGTTTGCTCACTGATTGAGCCCTTCTCTTAACAAAGATCCTTGTTAAAAAAAACTTAACACCTCTGCCTTCAGGAAAGGAGAGATAAGATATGCATCTACCTTAAGCTCTGCTTTCCAAGCAGCTAGAAAGGAGAAAAAAAAATCTTACTGGCTTTTGGTTTAAAATGATCCCACCGCTCTGCCACCATGTCAAGGCTGCTTCCCCACTTTGAACTTTAGGGTACAAATGTGGGGGCCTGCATGAAAACTTCTAAGCTTAACTACCATCCGCTGCCACCATCCCAAAGCTAATTCCCTTCCCTCGGTAGCCTTGAGAGACCTTCACCAATTCCCTGGTGAATACAGATCCAAACCCCTTGGATCTTAAAACAAGGAGAAATTAACCATCCCCCTCCTTTCTCCCACCAACTCCTGGTGGCTCAAGATCCAAACCCCTTGGATCTTAAAACGAGGAGAAATTAACCCTTCCCTTTATAGTTATGAAAACTTGTATAATTAATAAAGGTATAAAGTTATTACTATTCAGGTTCTTTAGAGACCCCACAGCTTCTAATATCCGAGTGGACAGAACTCCTTACCCAGCAAGACCACCATCTCATAGTTCTCCTGCATGACATCCCTGTAGAGGGCTCTCTGAGTGGGGTCCAGCAGAGCCCCCTCTGCCCTGGTGAAATGCACAGCCACCTCCTCAAAAGTCACCAGCCCCTGAAAGATCAAGAGTCCAACACTCAGTACCTGCAGCCCCACTCACAGCCCCACTATTCACGGAACAGCAGCACCAGGTAAAGGGAAGCTCCGGAAGGCACATGTTAACAGAGTCCCACCCCCACCTTGCCTAGAGCAGCCAGGAGGCATCAGAGGGTGGAAAGAGAGAACCTTTGTGTCTCCCAGCTGACAGACGGAGGCAGGGTCTTCACATTTATCACATACCTACTAGCCAGAGCTTGATATAAGAGATGGGGTTGTCTCTGTACCATGCTGGTGGCTCCCTTGTAGGAATCCCAACACTCTCCAAATAAAATATATGGAAGAAAGGGGAAGTCAATAGTAAAGAATATAAGTGAGAAGGTCGGAATTGTAGAAAATTGGTAAGGGAAGCTATCAGAAATCAATGACCAATCAATGAAAATAAGAAGGAAGTTTTAAAAAGTATATTAAGTACAACATTAATCTTAACAATGTTAGTGGTAAATTACTAGATGGAAATGGTAGAATTATCAAAAATAATGCAGAAGAGGTAAAAGTGTTAAATAAATATTTCTCTCTTAGATTTGGAGAAAAACAGATGATGTAACACATATCATAAGATGTTGATGCCAACAGTCTTTCCATTCCAACAGTAACTCACAAGGACGTTAAAGAGCAGCTATTAAAGTTAGACATGTTTAAATCAGTGGGTCCAAATAACCAGAGTTTTGAAAGACCTGGTGGAGGAGCATGGTGGACTGTTAATTAAAATCAATATTAGGACTTGGAACACTGGGGAAATTCCATAAGACTGGAATAAAGCTAATGCTGTGCCAATATTTAAAAAGTGTAAAAGAGAGGACCTAATTACAAGACAGTGCTAGTCTGAAATCGATATTGGGCAAGATAATGGAGCAGCCGATACTGGATTTCATTAATTAAGAATTAAAGGAGGGTAATATAATTAGTACCAATTAAAAAAAGGTTTAGACACAATAGATCCTATCAAACTAACTGGATATCCTTATTGGATGAGATCAAAAGTTTGGTTGCAGCTAATAGTACGGATGTAATATATCTAGACTTCTGTAAGGCATATGACCTGGTTCAGCCCAATATTTTGACTAGAAAACTAGCAAGATACAAAATACACATGGCATAAATTAAATAGATTAAAAACTATGATTGTAAATGGGGAACCATGGTCGAGTGGATGAATTTCTAGCGGGTTCCCGCAAGGATTGTATCTTGGCCCTGTGCTATTTAAACATTCTTATCAATGACCTAGAAGAGAATATAAAATCATCACTGATAAAGTTTGCAGTTGCCACAAAGATTGGGGATGGTGGTAACAAATGAAGTGTCAATAGATTCAGGCTCCAGCACTGGGAGTCTGGGAAGTTTTCCCAGCCCTGGCTGGAGGGCAATTTCCTGTTCCACAAAGAGGGGAATTTCCATTCCCAACTCCTGTGCCTTGAAAGTAGGCCCTACCTGACACTAAACCCCATATTCAGCATAGTGGTATGATTATAATAGGATTAGGTCATAATTATGATGCATTATGTGCAAGATGTATCATTCGCAGTGTCATTGGAAAAGTTAGGATAATCCTATTCAGCAAATCATATTTGTGTGCATAGATCATGTTTGTATCTGAAGTTATGAATATTGATTATGTATCTGTATTTCAAATGTGCTTACTCTGGGTAACACCCACAACTAGCCTTTCAGGTACAACAATGAAGAAGCCAGACAGTGCTGATGGCTCATCAACAAAGACAATGGACCGTGGAAGAGCTTAGCCTTCCTGTGAATGTGTCAGCCAGCCTATGAGTCATGGCTACTATGACTCAGCAGGGCATGCTAGGGCATGTGACCAGACCACATGACACTGAACTCCATTTTGGTACCTGTATTTTTCCACTAACTGGACTGGGAACTGAGTTTGGAAGAAAGGGTTCCTGCCATGTGGAAAAGCTACATAAGGTGGGGTGTGACATCTTCTCTTAGATAAAAGCGGTGTGATGTAACTAATCCAGTGCTTACTCGACAATTGGGTCGAGGGGAACAAGTATAGCAATAAAGAAGCCTGTACTGATACCCGCCTCTGGGTAAACCTGCTCCTTTTTTCTTCTAACAATAATTACTTTAAATCTATCTTTCTGCAGCTAATAAACTTGTTTTATGCTTTATCTTAACCTGTGTATTTTGAGTGAAGTGTCTGGGGAAAATCTGAGCTTGGTTAGCACAATCTTGTTGTGCATATCTTTCCCATATTGAGGGGAAGGTGAATTATATTAATGAGCTTACATTATAGAGATCCCTGTGCAACTATAAGATGGTATAATTCTGAATTTACATTACAGCAAGTGTGCAATGTTGGGGAGCTGGGAAATTGGCTGTTGTCTTCTATCCATCCTTGAGTGGCTTAGGTAAATTACTCAGGTAGCTTAGTTGGGTGTATGGCGCCACCTGCTGTTGTGCTGGGTGATAACAGGGCTTGGAGAGGCTGGCTGAATCTCCAGCAAAGCAGTGTGAGAAGGGCCAGCCCAGCTTGAGGGTTATAGGGCAAAGCAGTTCCCAGAAGCCCCCCAGAGTGCATCCCGGGGGTGACAACCCATCACACCCTAGATTACACAAGTCTCAGCAGGTTTGTCACATCCTGTCCCCTCCCTTTTTCCAACCTAGATATTTCCTGCCTCCCACCACCTGTAGCAGCTACCACTACTCCTATGCATTTACTGCTCCTCTCCCTCCAAGCAGAGCCCACCACCAGCTCCGTGATAATCTCTTACCTGAGCCAGCTCCATTGCAGCCATTTCCTTCCCCTGGGAGGATGGGATGATCTGGAGCAAAACGTGGACGTTATTCTCTAGTCTGACAGGATGAGAAGGGCAATGTGAGAGACTTCAGAGGGGGCTTTCATCCATTCCACAGGCCGACTCCCCCCAGGATTTTTCCCTACTAATGGACATTCTAGGATCTGCCACACTGTGAAGCACAGAGTGACCTTATTCCAGTAGAGGCCTAGCCCCTTCCGACCAGGGTGTAGCCGTCTGAGAAATGGTGAAACTCTCCCAGTAACAGTCTCTCTGTTACACTTACCAAGTTTGAGGATGATACCAAGCTGGGAGGGGTTGCAACTGCTTTGGAGGACAGGATTAAAATTCAAAATGATCTGGACAAACTGGAGAAATGGTCTGAAGTAAATAGGGTGAAATTCAATAAGGACAAATGCAAAGTACATCGCTTAGGAAGGAACAATCAGTTGCACACATACAAAATGGGAAATGAGTGCCTAGGAAGGAGTACTGCGGAAAGGGATCTGGGGGTCATAGTGGATCACAATCTAAATATGAGTCAACAGTGAAATGTTGTTGAAAAAAAAGGAAACATCATTCTGGGATATATTAGCAGGAATACTGCAAGCAAGACACAAGAAGCAATTCTTCTGCTCTACTTCGCACTAATTAGGCCACAACTGGAGTAGTGTGTCCAGTTGTGGGTGCCACATTTCAGGAAAGATGTGGACAAATTGGAGAAAGTCCAGAGAAGAGCATAAAAAATGATTAAAGGTCTAGAAAACACGACCTATGAGGGAAGATTGAAAAAATTGGGTTTGTTTAGTCTGGAGAAGAGAAGACTGAGAGGGGACATGATCACAGTTTTCCAGTACATAAAAGGTTATTACAAAGATGTGGGTGAAAAATTGTTCTTAACCTCTGAGAAAAGGACAAGAAGCAATGGGCTTAAATTGCAGCAAGGGCGGTCTAGGATAGACATTAGGAAAAAAAACCTTCCTAACTGTCAGTGTGGTTAAGCACTGGAATAAATTGCCTAGGGAGGTTGTGGAATCTCCATCTGTCATAACTATAAAGGGAAGGGTAACAGCCCTCCAGTGTACAATACTATAAAATCCCTCCTGACCAGAGACTCCAAAATCCTTTTACCTGTAAAGGGTTAAGAAGCTCAGGTAACCTGGCTGACACCTGACCCAAAGGACCAATAAGGGGACAAAATACTTTCAAATCTTGGTGGGGGGAAGGCTTTTGTTTGTGCTCTTTGTTTTTGGGTTGTTCGCTCTTGGAACTAAGAGGGACCAGACATCAATCCAGGCTCTCCAAATCTTTCTGAACAAGTCTCTCATATTTCTAACTTGTAAGTAAACAGCCAGGCAAAGTATGTTAGTTTTTATCTTTGTTTTCTCAACTTGTAAATGTACCTTTTACTAGGGTGTTTACCTCTGTTTGCTGTAACTTTGAACCTAAGACTAAAGGGGATTCCTCTGGGCTCTTTAAGTTTAATTACCCTGTAAAGTTATTTTCCATCCTGATTTTACAGAGATGATTTTTACCTTTTTCTTTAATTAAAAGCCTTCTTTTTAAGAACCTGATTGATTTTCCTTGTTTTTAGATCCAAAGGGGTTGGATCTTGATCCACCAGGAGTTGGTGGGAGAAAGGAGGGGGATGGTTAATTTCTCTTTGTTTTAAGATCCAAGGGATTTGGATCTGTATTCACCAGGGAATTGGTGAAGAGTCTCTCAAGGCTACCCAGGGAAGGGAATTAGCACATTGGGAGTGGTGGCAGCGGACCAGATCTAAGCTGGTAGTTAAGCTCAGAAGTTTTCATGCAGGCCCCCACATCTGTACCCTAAAGTTCAGAGTGGGGAAGCAGCCTTGACACCATCATTGAGGATTTTTAAGAGCAGGCTGGACAAACACCTGTCAGGGTTTGTCTAGATTATACTTAGTCCTGCCTTGAGTGCAGGGGACAGGAGTAGATGACCTCTCAAGGTCCCTTCCAGTTCTATGATTCTATGAACCAAAGGCGAGAGAAGAGCAGAATCAAAGGAGTCACTTTGGGGGATGCTCCCTGTCATTGTCCCCAAGGCAGCTGTCTCAGGTTTACAAAGTTGTTTGATGCTTCAGCCTTTATACAGTCTCTCCTGGGAGTGCCCCCTTTCATGGGCTGGGCCTACTTTTACCTTTTGACAAGTGTGAACGTGGGGGCTCTGAGACTGGGCCTTCTTGCCTCAGCACACAGTTTCTTTCTGTGGCTCCTCAGTGAGTCTAAATGAGTAGATACTCCTGATAGAGACTGTGAATATAAGAAGGGCCCACTGTGTCAGACCAATGGTCCATCTTGCTCAGTGGCCAATGCCAGGTGCTTCAGAGGGAATGAACAGAACAGGTAATCATCAAGTGATCCATCCCCTGTCACCCATTCCCAGCTTCTGGCAAACAGAGGTTAGAGATACCATCCCTGCCCATCCTGCCTGTGACACTGGCCGATGAGGTGTTAGCTCTTGAAAAAGCCCCCATGTCTTAATTGAACACGGACAAACGTATAGCTGGAATCAGTCTGGCTCACTTGTGTTAGTATTGTTAAAAGAGGTATTAGGATTATAACAATGTGTTTAGACATCACTGAATGCTTGTGAGTTGCTGCCTTGGTTAATATCTGATTAGTTGTATTGTGAGCCTCTGTTACTATGTAAATCAGCAGACAGCAGAGAGTCTTTACCTATGTGAAGTGCTGATTGGCAACAGAATGCATCCTGCCTCGCAGGAAAGGTCCATCAACACCAGATAGACTATTATGGGATGTTAAAGAAGACAAAAGATGGTTTTTGACCTCCCATTAGCTGAGTTTGCAGTTCAGAGCACATGGCAGGAAGGTGATAAAAACCCCATACAGAAGGAACAGATTATATATATGATGCTTGGACTCTGGGGGGCAAAGTTTCTAGGCATAAGCAAGAAATCCCCAGCTGATTAGCCTGGGTTAGTCCCTAGGAAGATATAGGGCTTGCTTATCATAGAAGCTTCTATTACCTTTTGAAATTTAAGACTGTAACTTGTCTGCATCTATATGATTACCTGCTTTAACTTTGTAAACAACTTTCATTTCCTTTTAAATAAGTCTTAATACAGGTTATTACAGGACTGGCTACAAGTGTTGTCTTTGTTGTGAGATCTCAGATTCAATTGACCTAAGTAAGTGACTGGTCCTTTGGGACAAGGTCAGGCTTGACAAAGCCCTGGCTGGGATGATTTAATTGAGGATTGGTCCTGCTTTGAGCAGGGGGTTGGACTAGATGACCTCGTGAGGTCTCTTTCAACCCTGATATTCTATGACTGGCAGTAACCTGAACATTGCTGTGATTCGTGGTGTAAGGCAGTGGTTCTCAACCAGGGGTCTGGGGCCCACTGGGGGGCCACTAGCAGGTTTCAGGGGGGCCGCCAAGTAAGGCCAGTATTAGACTTGCTGAGGCCCAGGGCAAAAAGCTGAAATCCCAGCGCATGGAGCTGAAGTCCAGGGCCCTGAGCCCCACCAGCCGGGGCTGAAGCCAAAGCCTAAGTTATGTGGATTTGCGGGGCCCCTGTGGCATGGTACCCCCAGAGAGGAAGAAAGTGCCCCGAGGCCTCAGCCAGAGGGTTGAGCCCTGACACACTACTGGCTTAGAGGTTCTCTACCAGTCAAGAAGGGGGATCAGTGAGGGAAGACTAGCAACTGATGGTTGGAGGGGTGAAGAGGTTTTGGGTATGGTGGGGGAAGAAGCATCCGGGATTGGATAACCTGGGGCTGGGCAGTCTCCATAAGGGACACTTGCTCCACCTGTGCCCTTTCCACACCCTCTTGCAAGTAGACAATGACCACACTGTCCCCACGCCACCCCTAGCTGTGTCTGAGGACTCTTCCAAGTTACACCCACTAACTCTCTTCCTATTTGGGGTATAGTTCGGGGCAACAATTTCCCTCCAAGATCAACCCAGCTGGTTGTTGGCTGTTCTGGTGCCACAGTGTTGATGTCACTAGGCCTAAATGAACCAAAGTTCCTTCATGTTTAACTCTAATCGACCTCAAAAGCCAGGGACAGAAATTGTAATTGATAACTGGTTGTTACACATTCCAACCCCCCACCCCTCATACTGGTACCAAGCGGTAATAATGAGGCCTGTATGTTTCTGGCTGAAGGGGAGATAATAAATCAAAGGGAAACAGGACCTGATAACGGTTTAGAGGAGTGTTACTAACAAGCTAGACTTATAGTCGCCAGAATGATTTAACTGCTCAAATGTATAAACATGGCTTTTGTAAAAGAAGGGAGGGGGAAGAGGGAGGAACTTAGCTGTGAAATGTAATTGCTTGCTACTTGCTAAAAGTAAACTATTATAGGAGAAAGTGAGGGGGAAGGGGTAAAGGAGAAAGAAGGGGGGTAAAGGAGGAAAGAAAGGGGGTAAAGGGGGAAGCCTAGCTGCAAACAGAATAAAAAGGTAAAGCTGCTTGTCTCAGTGTGCTTGATCTGAGACGTGCCAGTCTCTTTGCACTGCTTTGAGATCTCAAATAAACTTTGTTTGCTTCTCCACCCTGGTGTGTTCATTGGCGCGAAGCACACTGGGCAACGAACCCCACTGTTGCTGTCCTTGGGCCCTCTGTGCCGGCAACAACAGGGTGGGTGAAAGGCAGAACCGCAGCACTTCTCGGGCAAAATTTATTTTCTTCATGCAAAAGTAAAAAGAAATTCTGTGCTGGACATGAATTCTTTGCGTATGCAGTGGCACAGAATACCCACATGAGTAACTCACACCTGGCACAAACATAACCTGCTCACTCCCATCTCTTCTTCCTGTGTCTCAGAGTCCCAGAGCTACTGCTGTCATTAATGCACACAGGCTTTCACTCCCCATCAGTGCTGGTGAGACCCAATCCAGCTACAGGACTGAACCCTTATTCTCCCATCACATGGAACCGTCTCAGCTGAGGGGGAGATGAGAGGGGGAAGGGGTACAAAGGGAAAAGAGTTGTTGTAGCTATGTTGGTCCTAAGATATTAAAGAGAGGGATTTTTAAATTGGTTCTAAAAGAAATTACCTCACCCACCTTACCCACCTTGTCTCTCCAAGAGTTTTGAAAGTGGCAGAAGGAGTCAAAGAGGAAGACAGAGCTCAAGATCCCCTGGAAGAAACTACATTTCCCTTCTGCCCCTGGGTATGTTTGTATCCTATATCAGGGACCATCCCATTTCTCTCACAGCAGCAAAGGGAGACTGCAGCCAGCCCCAGATGGTCTTTCCTGATCCTGGGATGTGTGTTGTGAGAAAGTTTGTGTGTAGCGGGTGCATGGGCTGGGTACAGCTAGACCTATCTGCAGAGTGGAAACTCAGGGCAACTCCAGCACAGGATGGGGGCTGTGGGCACGGGTAGTAGTTCTGGAGCTGGGCCTCTGTCCCCTCCAGGTCCCATGGCAGATGGCTCTGGCAGCATCATTGCAGGGTAAGGTTGGGGTAGTGTCTGAGATCAGGGTGGGAATTGGAGGGGGGGTCCTTGCTCAAGAATGAGGGATGGAATTCACCTCCCCAACCCTCTGCAGAGCTCAGCAACTAGGGATTTATCCAGTGAAGTGAATTTCACTCTGGGTGACTTTGAGCCAGCCACTGAAAGATCCTTGTGCCTTCAGTTCCACACTGGCCACAGGAGTTTCCTAGTACTCCCTCCCCAGACTCCCGGGGACAGCCAGGGATAATTAGTGGGTTATGGGAATTAGAAGATGAAAATTCACTAAGAACAATGATATTTGTGTGTTTATTATTAAATCCCCAGACACCCACCAATCCCCGTCCTCCTTCCGATGAGCTATAAATATCTAAGGGACTCAGCTACTGATCCTGCAGTCAGTTCCTGCCCTTCCCCACTTTCTAAAGCAGCACTTTTAAGAACAGGCCAGGGAAACATGTAAATACTTTGAACCAAACTGCAGAAGCTGCTGAGCATGGAGAAGTTAAAATGAAACCAAAGTTCCATCTCTCCAAGGTTCTGGCCCCTAGTGCAAAATTATAGACACTCCCCAGAAATATGAAATGGCAACTTCATACCTGATAGAATGTTATTTATCTATTGACTTCTGGGAATTACCAATAAAAAAACCCTCAACCTAGTGAAGGTGATATCCTGAGGAAAAGATCTAATGTGTCTTTACAAATCGGTATGATCTAATCTGGAACTTTATACACTAAAATGCCTAATTCGTAGCCCTATGGCGATTGCCTGGTGTCACTACAGGGCAGAATTAAGGTTGGGGGCCTTAGCTGTGAATTTCCATCCCCTAGCATATTGTGATTGCTGTTAAGTGGGTTTGACAAAATTCATTTTGTCTATTTCTTTCTTTTAATTTCAATAGATGATATCGATATTTATTTTAAGCCCTTTTTTCAATGTTTATAATTTCAATGTTCAGAGCTGTGGGAAGTCATGGGGGTCGTCAGACAACAATTATTTAATAACAGTAAATGTTGAGATTCCAAAAGCAAAATCATATAACTGTTCAAAGAGAAATTGTCAATGTCACTCGCAAAATATACCATGTAAATATCCTTAAATCAAACTTGACTTTCTCCAGAAGCATTTTCTGTACATTACCTA